TGGCAGTCCCTCCTGACTTTCCACCTCGACCGTCTTCACCACCTCTGCAGCCCGTCGCTGTGGACTCTGGTGCTGCTGGAGGTGACACTGGGGGTGCAGACTCTGGGGGTGCTGGCTCTGGGGGTGCTGCGAGTCCTACGGGTGCAGTGGGTGCTGGAGGTGCTGCTGCTGGAGGTTCTGCGGGTGGAGGTGCTGGTGGTGCTGGTGCTGGTGGTGCTGGTGCTGGAGGTGCTGGTGCACATCGGCAGGAGACTCTCTCGCCGGAGCGGCTTTGCTAGTGGGCTGTCTGTTGGGGCAGTCCTGGTGGAGGCGCTGGACGTGCTGGAGCTGCAGGTTCTGGAGGTGCTGGCCCTGGAGGTGCTAGTGCTGGAGTTCCTGGAGTTGGCCGTGCTGGAGGTACTGGTGCTAGAGGCACAGGTGCTACTGGAGGTACTGGAGGTGCCGCTGCTGTGGGTGCTGCTGCGGGTAGTCCTGGCTCACGTCGCCAGGAGCCTCTCTCGCCGGAGTGGCTTCGCGAGTTGGCTATCCGTTCGGGCAGTCCTGGTGGTGGCGCTGGACGTGCTGGAGCTTCAGAATCTGGAGGTGCTAGCCATGGAGGTGCTAGTGCTGGTGTTCCTGGAGTTGGCCGTGCTGGAGGTACTGGTGCTGGAGGCACAGGTGCTACTGGAGGTACTGGAGGTGCTGGCACTATAGGTGCTAGTGTTGTTGTTCCTGAAGTTGGGGGTACTGGCGGTGCTGACACTGGAGGTGCTACTGGAAGTACTGGAGTTGGTGGTGCTAGTCAGCAGGAGTCGCTCTCGCCGCAGCAGCTTCGCGAGTGGGCTGTCCGTTGGGGCAGTCCCGGTGGTGGAGCTGGTAGTGCTGGTTCTAGGGGTGATGTTCCTACTAGGGCTCGAGGTTCTGGGGGTGTGACTACTCAGCCACAGCCGTCTGCGCTTCGTCACCTTCTCAGTCTCCCGCCTGCTGCTACTGTGTTCCCGGTTGCTGGTACTACTCCTTTGTTGCTGTTCCCACCGACTGACCAGTCTCAGCCATAGCTACTGCCTGGCTCCCCACTCCCTGCTACTGCTCCTCACACGGAGGTGACTGAGTCCCTGACTGAGCGTCGTGAGCCTGAGACTCGTGCTTCCACACCTGTTCGCGGTCGTCGTGTTGTCCGTCCTCGTGCTCCAGCTGTGCCGGGCACTCACCGTATGGCACTTCGTCCTTCCTCTGTTCCACAGCGTGTTGTCCTGCCGTCTCCTCCTGTGTCTTGTCTTCCTCACGTTTCTGACCCTGAGTCAAACCTTGTCCGTACTGCCAGTCCGACTGTCACTCGTCCCCTTGCCACGGGTTTAGGGTTTGTGACTGACCCTTCCTTTGAGTCTACTGTTGCGTCTGCCTTAGTTACTGAGCCTGTTGACTTTGCTGCTTTTTGTCGCCTTGACTACTCTGCGAGTCTTGTTTTTTACTCTTCCTGTCCTCCGTCCGTTGGGGGTGAGCTTGCCCTTCGCTGTGACGTTCGTGAGGACAGGCAATTTGAGCTGGAGTGCCTAGCGGCCGCTGCACCTCATCTCGCGTCCACGCTACTTTGCCCTGAGGGAGACCCGGATGCACCGGACATCCCGACCCTGCGCACTTACGCAGAGGCAATCACGGGTCCGTACTCCTCTTAGTGGCAGATAGCCATGGACGCAGAGATGGCTTCCTGGAAGTCCACAAGCACCTATGTCGACGAGGCTCCCCCACCTGGGGCGAATATAGTCGATGGCATGTGGATTTTCAGGGTGAAGCGGCCGCCGGGTTCTCCGCCCGCCTTCAAGGCGAGTTACGTTGCACGAGGCTTCAGTCAGCGTGAGGGGGTCGACTTCTTCCAGACCTTCTCCCCCACCCCGAAGATGACCACTCTTCAGGTGCTACTGCACGTTGCAGCACAGCGCGAATACGAGCTGCACTCCCTCGGCTTCTCGACAGCCTTCCTGCAGGGTCGTTTCCTTCACGAGGCTATCTGGTTGCGCCGCCCACGTGGCTTCACTGGGTCGTTTCCTGAGGGTACCCAGTGGAGTCTTCGGCGACCAGTCTACGGCCTACGACACGCGCCCCGTGAGTGGCACGACACACTGAGGACTACATTTGCGGCTCTTGGCTTCGCTCCTTCGACTGCTGACCCTTCGCTGTTTCTGCGCACAGACACTTCTCTGCCGCCGTTCTACGTTATCGTGTACGTTGACGACTTGGTTTTTGCCACTGCTGACACTGAGGCTGTGGCCTTGGTGAAGGCGGAGCTGCAGGAGAGACAGACCTGCACTGACCTGGGTGAGCTGCGGAGCTATCTTGGCTTGCAGATCACTCGGGACAGAGCATGTCGCACCATCACCCTCACTCAGTCACACATGGTGCAGCAGGTCCTTCAGCGCTTCGACTTCTCGTGGTCCTCGCCACGGCCCACTCCTCTGTCTACCGGCCACTCGCTCTCAGCTCCACCTTCGGACGAGTCAGTAGAGTCGAGTGGTCCGTACCCAGAGCTTGTGGGTTGCCTCATGTACCTGATGACGTGCACACGACCTGACCTCGCGTACCCTCTCAGCCTCCTGGCTCGCTACGTGGCTCCCGGTAGCCACCAAAAGGTGCACTGGGAAGCTGCGAAGAGGGTATTGCGTTACTTGTGCAGTACATCGGGCATGGGGCTCGTGCTTGGAGGACGGGGTTCAGCTTTTCTCACCGGTCACTCAGACGCTTCTTGGGCTGACGACCAGACGACTCACCGGTCGACACAGGGGTACAGTTTCAGCCTTGGCACTGGTTCTGTCTCGTGGAGGTCCACTCGCTCTTCTTCTGTACTTAGTTCCAGCTGTGAGGCCGAGATCTACGCTGGGGCTATGGCTGCACAGGAGCTCCGCTGGCTGACCTACCTGCTGACCGACTTGGGTGAGCGGCCTCGTTCTCCTCCAGTTCTGTACGTCGACAACAAGGCCATGATTGCCTTGTGTCAGGACCAGAGACTGGAGCACAGAACGAAGCACATTGTTCTCCGTTACTTCCTCACGCGAGAGCTGCAGCAGCGTGGTCAGCTTAGTCTTGCATACGTGGCCTCACAGGCCAACACTGCTGGTGTCTTCACCAAGGCCCTTGGGTCTAGTGATCATCAGCGTTTCTGCACTGCTCTTGGGCTTGTGCCCACTCTGCCTCACCTGCTTGTCCTTTGATCTTGCCTTGCACTTTTTGTACTATGATATATATGATTATACCTGCATGTTTGCGCTTGCTAGGTTGTGATCAGTGTACTGCAATTGCTTTTATAAACTATGCATGTGAACTGGTCTTGTGGCCGCTTGCTTGTGCTCAGAATGTGTGGTGATCTTGAGATTCACCCTGAGCTTTGCTTAGCTTTGTTTTCTTGCTTGACTGGTCTTGTGACCGTCCGTTGTGTTTGCTATCCCCCACTTTGCCTATGGGGGTGTGTCAAACTATGTTTGTATTATCTAGGCTGTAGTGGGGCATACTCTAGTGAGTACAACCCCTTAGGGTTTCCTACTTTGACTCACAACCCTACTCAATGCCACATTCCTTCTTGACAGAGGGTGCTGTAGTGGGTGCACCTGTAGGAACATGTGTAGGATGTGCGGGCGAGCAGCTCGGGCAGCACGCTAGCAGGGGCGGCACGGGCGGCAGTTAGCAGAGGTGGCACGGACAGCAGTCTTGAAGCGGCGGTACGAGCGGCAGGCTAGCAGGGTCGGCTCGGGTGGCAGTCTCATAAGGGCGGCACGGGCGTAGTCTAGCAGGGACAGCACGGGTGGTAACCTAGTAGGCGGCAGTACGGGCGGCTGTGGTCGGCAGTATGGGCGGCAGTACAGGGGGGGGTCTGGGCGGAAGTGAATGGCAGCACGCGCGGCAGCACGGGCGGAAGGACGGGCGGCAGTTAAGACGGCAGTGGGCGGCAATACGGGCGGCAGCACGGGTAGTAGTACGGGCAGCAGTACGGGCGGCAGTACGGGCGGCAGTATGGGCGGATGTGGGCGGCAGTACGGGCGGCAGTATAAGCGGCAGTACAGGCGGAAGTACAGGAAGCTGTGGGCGGAAACACGGGCGATAGTACGGGCGGCTATGGGCAACAGCAATGACCGTTGCAGCTGCTGCTGGTGCTGCTAGTGCGCGGTGCGATTCTGTTGCTGCTGGCGCTGCTAGTTGCTGCTGCTGGCTAGCTTCTGTTGTTGGTGCGCGCGTGCTGCAGCTGCAGTTGCATTGCTAGCTGCTGTTGCACGCTAGCTATTGCTTGACACTAGCTGCTGCTGCTGGCGCGCTAGCTGCTGCTGCTGGCTCGCTGCTGTTGCTGGTGCGCGTGAGTTGCAGCTGCAGTTGCAGTGCTAGCTGCTCCTAGCTGCTGTTGCGCGCTGGCTGCTGCAACGCACTAGCTGTTGCTGCTGGCGCGCTAGCTGCTGCTGGTGCTCTAGTTGCTGGCCAGACCTCGCCTATCCTCTCAGCATCCTTGCTCGCACTGTTGCGACAGGGAGACACCGTCTCGTTCACTGGACAGCTGCTAAGAGGGTAGCGAAGTACTTGGCGAGCACATCAGGCATGGGGCTTGTGCTTGGAGGGCGACCGCCCGTGCGACTTACGGTACCGGGCACACTGACTCTTCTTGGGCTGACGACGTAGACACTTGCAGGTCCTCTGAGGGCTCCTGCTTCAGCCTTGGCACTGGAGCCGTCTCGTGGATGTCTACCCGCGCGTCGACTGTAGCATTTATCAAGGTGTTGATTGCGCCAGGGTAGAATGCGCTATGCATACAGAAGGGTGTGTTTCACAAGTCTTGAGAAAGCTTTGACATTACCTTAGTCCAAAAAGCCGAGAAGAGGAAATTAATTTCATTATTCATACAGGCGCGTGCGTGCTCACCTACATATATACGTCAGTGTGTTGTGCACACACCATATGCAAGCAACCTTTTGCGTGCCCACACAGAAGGTATAGTAAGGTATTCCATATTAATGGGCTAAATCATGGATCCCAGAGAAAAAGTGTCACTTGTGAGCATTCAGGTCATCACATTTCGGCCCCGTCTCAATCTTATCGATTCGAGCTCGAAGCCGCCCAGCCAGCTCATCATTCGGCCCACCGCTCTCTATCCTGCTCGACCGCGTCGAACCCATTGCACTGCCGCCCCCATCCACAGCCGGCTTCCCACTGTTACCCTTGAACACAGCTCCAGACCCTGACCCAGCAGCACCACCACTCCGTGCTTCCCTCGCCACTTGCGCCCTCGGGCTGATAACACCACACGCTCCTCCCGCACCTCCATTCTGGCTCACCCCACCCGGAGACAGCAGCGGCGCCCCATCGACCGCGGCACCATGCATGGCGCCAGCGGCCGAGGGAAACGACTCGATGCGGTCCAGTCGAGCCTGCAGCACCCCTGTGAGCTCCGCATCTGGTCCATCTTCTTTCAACTCCAGCGCCGCTGCTGCCGCTGCTCGGTCTCTTGGCCACGATTGCCTTGATGGTTGCCAAGAAGGACGGCCTGTCCTTTGTCGCGAGAAGGCCGGTGCGCTTGACGAATAGTCCCGCTGTGGAGTGGACAGAGAACCAACGAACAAGTCAGTGCCTCGGATGGGACGGGAAACACTATGTAGGGAGGGTACCAACATGTGTAAGTCGCTTACCTGCCGCCTCTGCAGCCTCGTTCGTTTTGACAGTGGCCTCTAACATGAGGCCATATATCTGCCCCATGAGTAGAGAGCGTTTGTCAACAGCCCGAAGCACCTCATAGACCGGAGTCATGAGGCGCTGGACTGCGACAACGAGCTCCCAAAACACATCATCAAGTAGGAGCGTGCGGACCGCTTGCCCCTCTTTCGACCGTGCCACCGCCACCTGCTCCCACTCCTCGCTAATCACCATCGCCTTAAGCGCCCTCTTCACTTCCAAGAAGCGGCCGACCATGATCACTTGGGTCCCAAAACGCGTTGCACCGGGCCGGACCAACGACAACTTCGTGAAGAGTGTGCGGAAAAGCACAACCGCGGAGGCGCTGCCCTTCACCATCATAACCACGCGGTGTACTTGGGCTAGAACGCGTCTCACCGCCCGAACCTTCCCGCAATCGTGCAACATGAGGTCCAACACATGCGCGGCGCAATTCGTGAAGAACACATGGGGAACTTCGGGTTTCAGCAACTCGGCCGCACGCTTGTTGTTGGACGCGTTGTCCATCACGACTTGGACGACGTGATGGCCTCCCACAGAGCGGATCGCATCGCCAATAAGTCCCGCCAGGTACGCTCCGGTCTTTTTTGCAGTCTTTGAGTCCACGACCTCAACAATGACGGGTGCCGTGTCGTTAAGCGCGATGACGCACACCATGCCTCGTGACTTGATGCACGTCCACCCGTCCACCGAGAGGGAGCACCCGCTCGTGTTCCAAGAGTCCTTGAGCGGCTGAACGAGGGCTTCCGTATCAGCCCTGAGTTTGGCAAGCAGCGGGCCCGAGACTCGGTAGGGTGTGGGAAGAGTGTATGGCTTCGCGAAGTTGACGGCCGCGTCCACAAACGCCTGGAACGAGTTTGAATGAGACACGTTGAACGCGAGATCATTATCTGCCATAGCCGCACACCACAAGTAATCTAGACGTCCGCGGGCAACATCATCCGTCATGTCGCGGATGTCACGTTGCCTATTACGACGGACGGGCTGAAGTGCAACCGATGACGTGGAGGCACGGTTTTCACAACCCCCGGTGGTGGACCGTTCGCGTTCGGCTTCCGCACGGAGTGCATCAGCCACGATCGACTTGCACATCGTCACGTTCTTAAGCTTGTCTGAGGGAGTCCCGTAAATATGGTACTTAATGCGGGTCGCGTTAGGAGTGACGGCGTCTCCGCAATGCTTGCATGTCGCACTAGCTACGCCGTTGGATGTCTCCTTGATCACGTGCTTCCATTCGTCCGATAAAGGTCGCACCATGGCCTTAACTGAGGTGAGTGAGAGAATGCTAAAATAATTCTGCCGCTAGGATGTGAAGACTAGTTTCTGCTCCACGTATTAGTACCTTCGTGGGGCAAAGGGCTTTGCAAGCGTTGTCGAGTGGAATTTGGGGATGGGGTGATGAGAGGAATGGAACAGGTGCAACTCTGATTGGCCGAAATGAGTTCGCAGCGCGAAGTTTGGGTTGTCGCACAAGCTGGCGAAAACCGAAATGGGGGGCGCGAAAGTGTGCAACAGCTATGCGAAACATTCAAACAATTGGCGTCAGTTCGCCAAATGTTTGAATGTCGCGGCCCGCTAAATTGAACTCGAAGCGCAACGGCGAACAACTGAAACGACTGGGCGAAACGGGTAAACCTTTGTCGACCACCTCGCCAAATGTTCAAATGTCGCGCTTCGGGTAAATGCCGAAATTCGCGCTTCGGGAAAAAAAAACACAAACGATTGGATTCGTGGGGACAGAATTCGGTCCCCTCGAATGACGGTTGGGAATTTCTTGTTTCGCTAATGTGTGACTCGGTTTCAAAATTGCGGTCGTATTAAACGACCGTATTTTAAACCAACCACAAAATGAACATGACAATCGTTTTAAACCGTTTTATACGACCGAAATAAACGATACCGTTTTATACGGATAATTTAAAAAAAACGACCGTCATTTTGATCCTTGGTGGAGGGGCAGGGAGGGCAGTGGAGCGGCAGTGAGTTCTCCCCGATGGTGGACTACTGGTTGACCGAGCCGCACCTTTTCCTCCTTTTACTCTTTTTCTTGCCCCTTTCCCCACCATCCCACTCTCACCCCCTGCCAGGCTGGCAGTGCGGGAGTTCGGGCCGCTGGTGGACTACTGGGTGACGTTCACCGAGCCGCACCTCTTCCTCCACCTCACCCGCACTCTTACCTTGCCTTTCCCACCACACAAACCTTCCCCTTTACAACCCTCTCAGGCTGGCAGTGCGGGAGTTCGGGCCACTGGTGGACTACTGGGTGACGTTCAACGAGCCGCACCTGTTTGTCATCCTCACCTACTGCATGGGCGTGTGGCCGCCCGGCAAGGCGCCCTCGCTGCTGCAGTCGGCGCTCTGCATGTCGCCCGTGGGGCAGTACAGCCAGGCCATGCAACACATCGGGGAGGCTCACATCTCTGCCTTCAAGATCATCAAGAAAGGGTAAGGGCACTTGAAAAAGGGTATGGGCCCCCCTCGCTGCTGCAGTCCGCGCTCTGCATGTTGCCTGTGGGGCAGTACAGCCAAGCCATGCGCCACGTTGGGGAGGCGCATATTGCTGCTTTCAAGACGATTAAGAAAGGGTAAGGGCTCTTGGAAAAGGGTATGGGGCCCCTTCTCTGCTGCAGTCGGCGCTCTGCATGTCGCCCGTGGGGCAGTACAGCCAGGCCATGTGCCACGTTGGGGAGGCTCACATCGCTGCATTCAAGACCATCAAGAAGGGGTAAGGACACTTGGGAAGGGATACGGCCCCCCTCGCTGCTGCAGTCGGCGCTCTGCATGTCGCCCGTGGGGCAGTACAGCCAGGCCATGCGCCACGTTGGGGAGGCTCACATCGCTGCATTCAAGACCATCAAGAAGGGGTAAGGACACTTGGGAAGGGATACGGCCCCCCTCGCTGCTGCAGTCGGCGCTCTGCATGTCGCCCGTGGGGCAGTACAGCCAGGCCATGCAACACATCAGGGATGCACACATTGCTTGATAAGGCAATTCTAGAAGAGTAGGTCTGGGCCGCTCGGGAAAGGGCAGGGAATGGCAGTGAATCTGAGCATGCTGCAGTCAGCGTAGTCCCAGTTTCCTCCGGGGATCTCCTTAAAGCCCAAAAAAAAAAAAAAAAAAAGCGTAGTCCCAGTGACTTTTGAGGCGCCTCAAAAGTCGCCCAGTGTTAGTTAGGCATGGTGCCTGTGGGGCAGGGCAGCATAGTCACGCCACGCCAGGTGACTTTTGAGTCAACTCAATGGCCACACTTTTGATAATTCTCAAAAGCAACTCCGCCACGCCGGGTGACTTGAATCAACTCAGTCGTCACCTCATGGTGTGTGTGACAATGGCGTCGTGCCAATTTGTCCCCTTGTGCCCCTCTTTCCCCCACACCTCCCCTCTATCACCTCTCCTTTCACTCCTTGTCCTCAGGAGCGCAGACCCAGTGGGCGTGGCAGCCAACACGGCATTCATGACGCCATACAGCGCTTTAGAAGTGGTGGTGCTGCTCTGCATTGACTGGATGACGCTCTTCCCCTCACTGCATGTGGTTGTACCACCCTCATCCCCCCTTTTGGTCCGCTTCCTTGACCATCCCCATCCCCCAGGAGCACAGCACCAGTGGGCGTGGCGGCCAACACGGCGTTCATGACGCCATACAGCGCGCTGGACGTGGTGGTGCCGCTCTACATCGACTGGATGACACTCTTCCCCTGGGTCGACCACATCCAGCATCACCTCGACTTCTGCGGCCTCAACTACTACGGTCAGGTCAGCAGACGGTTCGGCCAGGTCAGCAGTTCGAAGTGCCAGGTCAGCAGCTCGTACAGCCAGATCAGCAGCTGATTCGGCCATGTCAGCAGCTGCTAGGGCCAGGTCAGATTCTGATGATGAAAAGGGTTTCGCACCTTCACAGCCTTCCACAGGTAACCCAAGTGGCTTTACCCTCCTTCCACATCTTCATACCTTCCACCTCGTCCTCCCCGTTCAGCATCTGCATGGCATTGCTCTCAAACTGAGAAACGGGTAGAAAGCAGCAAGCTCGGTTCGACCGACCAGTGATGACTAATCTAAGAACTACTAAACTCACGGACTATTAGGCGAGAACACGTGTAGGTAAACGTAGTAGCATTAAATCGGTAGATTACAAGTGGTTTCAGAGCGTACGCGCGTTTCGTCTTTTTAGGCCTTCATCGGCCTTGTCCTCCCCGTTCAGCATGTGCCTGGCCTTGCCGATACCTCCCCTGCCCTCCCCATGCCCTCCCCTCCCCTCCCGCCCTCACATTCTCAGGAGTTCATGTCAAGTCAACAGCAGGCGTGCAGAGTGTGGACGAGGAAGAGTTTCCGAAGCAGGCCGAGCAGTCTACCCAGACGAATTTTAACACATCCTCATTGCCTTCCATCCACCGCCGCTACTCTGTTCCCCGTGCCCCGATCCCCACCCTCCTCTTACAGGAGTTCATGTCAACAGCAGGCCTGCAGAGTGTAGAAGAGGAGGAGTTATCCGAAGCAGGCCGGGCAGTCTACCACGTCGGCTTCTACCGCATCCTCATGGCCTTCCACCGCACGCTCTCTTCCCCTTGTCCCCCTGCCCTTCTGTCCCTCTGCCCTCCTTCCCCACTCCCCTCCACCTCCGCTCCTGCTCCCCTTCCTACCCCTCTCCCAGGAGTTCATGTCGACAGCAGGTCTGCAGGCAGAGTGTAGAAGAGGAAGAATTCTAAGAGGCAGGCCGGGCAGTCTACCTTGATGGCTTCTACCGCATCCTCATGGCCTTCCTTCCACCGCCTGCTCCCTTCCCCTTGGTCCCCTACCCTCCTACTCCCCCCGCTCTCCTGCTCGCCACTCTTACTGGAGTTCATGTCGACAGCAGGCTTACAGAGTGTGGACAAGGAGGAATTCTCCGAGGCGGGCCGAGACGTCTACCCCGATGGCTTCTACCGCATTCTCATGGCCTTCCACCAGCGCTACTCTGTTCCCCGTGCCCCAATTCCCTCCCCCCCCCCCCCCCCCCCCTCTTTCCCTCAGGAGTTCATGTCGACAGCAGGCCTGCAGAGTGTGGAGGAGGAAGAATTCTCCGAAGCCGGCAGGGCAGTCTACCCCGATGGCTTCTACCGCATCCTCATGGCCTTCCACCGCCGCTACTCGCCCAGCCACCCCGCGCTGCGCTTCATCGTCACTGAGAACGGCTTTGCCGACACTGAGGACAACATTCGCCGCCCGTATCTGATTGAGCACCTGCTGGCACTGAACGCGGCTATCAAGGAGGTGGGCGGCAGACAAGGTTGCGCTATGTTATGTGGTTGCTTGACTAAAAACAGACATACACTCACCTTCCTGCATGTACCCTCCTTCCGATGACCCTTTCCTCTCCCAACTCACACCCATTCACTCCCTCGCTTTATTATACAAGTCGACAACTCACCCCACTCACTCCTCTCTACCATCACCACCCACTCTACCCCTTCCTACGCAGGGCATGCCCATAGACGGGTACTTCCACTGGACCATCAGCGACAACTGGGAGTGGGCGGACGGCTATTGCCCCAAGTTCGGCCTGGCAGGCGTTGACAGGACCTCCGCCAACCTCACCCGCGTGCTACGCCCCTCCTACGGGCTCTTCAAGGAGGTGAGGGGGGATTTTGCACGCCTGAAGGTGAGATCCGTTCACATCCACACAGGGCCTCCGCCAACCTCACCCGCGTGCTGCGCCCCTCCTATGGGCTCTTCAAGGAGGTGAGGGGGGCTCTGAGACGTGTCAGAAAGAAGTTTAACAAACTGGGTAGACTAGAGAGGTGGTCAGAGGCCCAACAGGGCCCAACAGGGCCCAACAGGGCCCAACAGGGCCCAACAGGGCCCAACAGGGCCCAACATAGCATGCGCGGGGCCACTCACATGTTGATTGCTTCCCCAGGACGCGTGACAGCGCACATGGTGCTCTGGGCTACATCCTGCTCGCATTGCTTCAGTAACTCTCTCATTGAAAGCATGTGACACCACTGCACTGCACCCATCCATCGTTTCCTTCTCCTCAAATCGTGCGCTCTTCCGCCCCCTCTTCCACTCCACTCCCCACACCCCCCCAACCCCATCTCCCCCACCTTTCCCCATCCTCTCCCCTGCCCCAAAGATTGTGGAGTCACGGCAAGTGACGGCGCAGCAGCGGGAGGAGGAGTGGGGGCAGCTGCAGCAGCGAGCGGAGCGGGGCGAGCAGCGCTCCTATTGCCGTGCTGTTGAACCCAGCGGCCGCATGGGCGCCGGTGAGCGCGGTGGTGGCGTGGGGGATGCATGGGGGGGCGCATGGGGGGTACATGGAGGGTGCATGGGGGGGTGGATGGGGGAGTGCGTGGGGGGCTCATGGAGGTGTGCATGATGACATGGTGGTGAACGGAAAGGACATGGCAGCGGGGTGAGCAGCGCTCCTACTGTAGCGCCGTGGAACCCAGCAGCCGAATGGGCGCTGGTGAGGCCGGGATGGTGTTTGCGTGCCGGGTGAGATGTATTTTGACATCTGCAGTCGCTGTTAAGAATCCATCTGTGGCTGCATGCACGGTACCATGTGTGGAATGGTGCCACGGGAAGCAGCTCAGTTTCATGTATTTTTCTCTATCAAACGCACCAGAGAAGTCAGAGCAACCCACCCACTCATTCCTCACTCGCCCTTGCCCCTAGTCCTCCCTTTTACCCACTCTCCTTCCTGGAATTCCCATTCCTTTCCATCCCGCTCCCTGTTCCACCATTTCTCTTACCCCTTCTTTTCTTTCCATCCCTCAACCACTCCCGCCCCTCTTCCCTCCTCTCGTCCCCCCATCCAGACTCCCTTGATCCACCCACAACAAGGGTCATAGCCACCTAGGATTGTCGGCCAAGGCAGGCATGTTGACGACTTCTGAGTTGACTGAAGAGTTCTCACCTCCCTCTCACCCGATTGTCTGCTACCCTCTCTTCTCACCACCCCCCGACCAGACTCCCTTGACTCCCCCATAACACGGGTCATACCCTCCAAAGACTGGTGCTTTGGCAAATACAGGCGCCCAAGGCAGCCGTGATGGTGAGGCGCCCAAGGCGCTCATCTACTACCCTCTCCTTTCTCCATGACGGCAGTCAACTCAGTATTTCTCCCCTCCCTCGCCCTCTCATCTACTACCCTCTTTCGCCCCCCCTCCAGACTCCCTCGACTCCCCCTCAACACGAGTGATAGCCACCAAGGACTGGCGCTATGGCGAGTACAGGCGCCCCAAGGCCGCCGTGATGGTGAAGCGTACGGTAAGGATTTTCCGCATCTGGCTGGAGGACCTGCTGCTTGCCGCCCAGCAGGCTGCAGATGCTGCCAACTCCCTCCTGTGCCGCCTCATGCATGGCCCTCACCACCAGCACGAGCACCAGCACCAGCACCAGCAGCAACAGCAACAGCAGCAGGTTGTGGAGCAGCAGCAGGTATGGGAGGAGGTGGAAGCAGACACTGAGATACCGCCAGTAGCTGTTGCAGCTGCTGCCGCTGGTGCTGCTTCAGCAGACAAGGATGAGCTGTAAGAGCAGTGGCTCTGCTTTTGCACAGAGAGTGCTGGGTCGGGGAGCTGCTATGAGAGCTGGGTGGTAGCCTTGCTGGGTAGGAATGTGAGTGATGACATACAGGCGTGAAGCCGTGGCTTCTACATCATGGCTTACTGTTGGAAACAAGTAAATTAACGCTTATGAAGCAACGAAACGGAGCAGACTACAGCGAAGCAACACGCGAGTCAAACAAAAGTAACAGCTAGAGGTTACGCGAAGGTCAAAGGTCGCCGACCTTTGACTCGACGAAAAGTACAGCGCGATAGCAAGGACACATAACTGACTCGATATTGAGCAGTTACCCGAGTCGTCACTGTATCGAACCGCAACAGCAAAAACAGTTTAAAGTAAAACCTTGCATATTCCTTCGTAATCATATAAAAAGCTTTGTATCTCTCTGCTATTATCAACTTATCTTGTTCTCACACACCAGTACAAGGTGGTTCAGCAAACTCTGATATTAATGTCAGAGGTCCACTGGTGATCCCCGATTGATCATAGGAAAGGGTTACAGGCATGTTGGCCTGGGGGGTTATGGGCGCACTGACCCGCTACTTAACAAGCCCTTCTATCCCAATGGTCTAGTGACTGGGATTCTGACATGGTATCAGAGCGGTCTCGAGTTCGAATCCCAGTGTGTGCACTTCGGGCATCCCAGAGCGGAGGGTGTCAGAGGTCCACTGGTGATCCCCGATTGATCCTAGGGAAGGGTTACAGGCATGTTGGCCTGGGGGGTTATGGGCGCACTGACCCGCTACTTAACAAGCCCTTCTATCCCAATGGTCTAGTGACTGGGATTCTGACAATTAACGCTTCCGCAACTACAACATCCTTACTACTAGAGTCTTAGCCTTGAAAGATCCTAGGGCTATTTCTCACCCCAACATGGTATGAGAGCAAACAGGGCAAGATCGATTTCCAAAATTCTTACGACAACACAAGACATGGCAACACAGAAGGAGAGGAGCTCCTCCGACGGATCTCTCGGCACTACTCCTACTCTACCTCCAGCCTCTGGCCTACAGACAGAGGAAGGCACAGCAACAAGACCAGCTGCGGAGTCAACCGAAACTCCCGGGAATCAAGCAGCAAACTTCGATCCAAGTATGATGGAGAAATTATTCTCCTTCATGTCCTTCTACGAGCAACACCAACAAGCAGCTCCTGCGCAATCAAACAACAGCGACAACAACAACAGAGCAACACCGATGAGTCTTGACGGTTCATCCTATGCGCGCGGAAATCAGCAGCAACCCACCTTTGCTCCGTACGAGCCTCAACGTGGCTCCATCAGCTTCGCGCCACAACCACAGTCTTCACCTGGACAAGAGAAGACATTAGACGCACTTCAAGTTCAATCACAATTCGCACATGTGTTAAAACTACAGACATCAACACCTTTCGACGGAAAGGACTTCTATACCTGGTCATTCGAATTCGATCTGATGATGGAGGGCGCGCAAATTCTTGGATTCTTCGACGGGTCCCTGCCATACCCAACGCATGGGACACAATACGACAAGCAGCAGTATACATATCAGTCGCTAATGGCGTATACGATACTACTGCGAAATTTATCTCCAAACGAGCAGCAGAACATCCGGTCTTATCGAGGATACGGCAATTCCGCCAAACAGGCATACGACCACCTGAAGAGTATGTATCAAGCAACAGATAGTGTTAATCAAATTCGTCTCATGGCACAGCTGACAACAGTGGAAATGAAAACCGGCGAAAAGGGAATGGCGTGTATCAGCCGCTGTCGAGGACTGCGCGACAGACTCCTTCGATGCGGAGGATCAATATCTGAAGAAGCCTTCGTAACAGTCATCATCGCTAGCCTCGGTCCTCATTGGCGCTCCACTCGAGCACTCCTCGAGCTCACGGGAAGATCTCCGAAGCGGCACTCTGTGCCGAAATTCACGCTGAACAGCAGGACATGGACCTGCACGAAGAACGACACAAGAAGAAAGCGTCAGCACCGGAATTCGCGTTTCACACTCAACGACGTTACAACAACAACAACAATCGACAAAACAACCGTCAGATTCAACAATACGTCCCACCGTTGTGTCACCTTTGCAAGACATCCGGACATCCGCGCACACACTGCCTGAATCAGCAGCAGTCGACGTCGCCGCAACGTCAACTTCGACCCTCAAGCAGTCAAGTAACTTCTACGCAGGCGCATCCCACCAACCAAGTGCAGTCTTCAACATCATCAACGACAAACCCTGCACAAGGCACAAGAAACATCATAAACTGTATGACAAGAACGACAGACTCCTGCATCACCGGATCACCACCGTTCTACTCACCAGAAGAACAACTCGACGAGCGCACCCCTCGCCGCGAGTCACTAGAACCCAACCCGGCGTATGCAGCCATCGCCCAGAGCGAGGTGTCAGGAAAAGACACTTGGTTCTTGGACAGCTGCTACGGACAACACATGTGCTCCTCGGGTCGCTTCGTTCAACAAGAATATCAACTTCAGCACAAAGTTATAATCACAGACGCCAACAACCAGAACCTGCACACACGACGACAAGAGATTGTACAACTTCAGTCTCGAGAAACTAACGTTATTTTACAAATGTCAAAGGTTTTAATTGCAGAAGGACTCGGCTACAACTTACTCAGCGTCAGACAACTGATGGCGAAGGGCATTCATCTCGAAGCAGACAGCACCACTCAGGTGTGAAAATAACGAACAAGAATGAATGAACTAGCAAAGAGTTGGGTACAAGTACTAACCCTAATTAGGTTGTACCCCTTATGGGCTACCCCACTATAGCCTACACAAATGTAAAAGCTATAATGTTCTGACACACCCCCATAGGCAAAGTGGGGGAGAACAAGTGGTCACAAGACCAGTCAAGAAAGCAAAGCAAGCTCAGGGTGGATCACAAAGTCACCACACAGTCTGAGCACAAGCGAAGGGCCACAAGGCCAGTTCACATGCAGAGTTATACAAAGAGAACAAACAATACAGTGATCATACCCTAGCAAGTGCAAGCATGCAGGTATATATATAGATCACAGTACAAACAGGGTCAAGCAAGTGAGGCAAGGTAGGCACAAGGCCTAACACAGTAACAAAGCGCTGATGATCACCAGGCAGAAGTGCCTTGGTGAATATATCAGCAGTGTTGGCTCGAGTGGCCGCGTACGCAAGACGAAGCTGGCCACGCTGCTGCAACTCTCGTAAGAAAGTATCGCAGAGCGATGTGCTTCGTTCTGTGCTCCAATATATGCTCCTAACACAAGGCAATCATGGCCTTGTTGTCTACGTACAGAACTGGAGGTGAACGAGGCTGCTCTCCCAAGTCGGTCAGCAGGTAGGTGAGCCAGCGTAGCTCCTGAGCAGCCATGGCCCCGGCGTAGATCTCAGCCTCACAACTGGAGCTGAGAACCGAAGACGAGCGGGTAGACTGCCAGGAGACAGAGCCAGAGCCAAGGCCGAAGGTGTAACCCTGTGACGACCGCTGCGTAGCTGAGTCGTCAACCCAGGAGGCGTCTGCGTGACCGGTGAGGACAACTGGACCCCGTCCTCCAAGCACGAGCCCCATGCCTAACGTACTACACAAGTAACGCAGTACCCTCTTCGCAGCATCCCAGTGCACCTTTCGGTGCCTACCGGGAGCCACGTAGCGAGCCAGGAGGCTGAGAGGGTACGCGAGGTCGGGTCGAGTGCACGTCATCAGGTACATGAGGCAACCCACAAGCTCTGAGTACGGACCACTCGGCTCTACGGACTCGTCCGAAGGTGGAGCTGAGAGCGAGTGGCTGGTAGACAGAGGAGTGGGCTGTGGCGAAGAGAACTGGAAGCCGAAGCGCTGAAGGACCTGGTGCACCATGTGTGACTGAGTCAGGGTAATGGTGCGCCGTGCTCTGGTCCGGGTGATCTGCAAGCCAAGATAGCTGCGCAGTTCACCCAGGTCAGTGCAGGTGTGTCTCTTCTGCAGCTCCGACTTCACAAGAGTCAGTGCCTCAGTGTCAGCAGTGGCAAAGACGAGGTCGTCGACGTAGACAAGGACGTAGAACGGCGGCAGCGAGGTGTCGGTGCGTAGAAACAGCGACAGGTCAGCAGTAGCAGGAGCAAACCCAAGAGCCGCAAGTGTAGTCCTCAGTGTGTCGTGCCACTCGCGGGGCGCCTAGCGGAGACTGTAGACTGGCCGCCGAAGACTCCACTGAGTATCTGCAGGAAAAGACTCAGTGAAACCAGGTGGGCGACGCAACCAGATCTCCTCGTGCAGGCTGCCCTGCAGAAACGCTGTGCCGAAGTCCAGAGAGTGCAACTCGTAGTCACGCTGAGCAGGGACGTGCAGCAACACCCGAAGAGTAGTCATCTTCCGGGTGGGGGAGAAGGTATGGAAGTAGTGAACTCCCTGTCGCTGACTGAAGCCTCTAGCAACGTAACGCGCTTTGAAGGCAGGCGGAGAACCTGGCGGCCGCTTCACCCTGAAGATCCACATGCCATCGACTATGTTCGCCCCAGGTGGGGGAACCTCGTCGACGTAGGTGCCTGTGGACTTCGAGGATGCCATCTCGGCATCCATGGCTGCCTGCCACTGAGAGGAGTAAGGACCCGTAATCGCCTCTGCGTAAGAGCGCGGGGTCGGGATGTCTGGTGCATCCGGGTCTCCCTCAGGGGCAAGTAGCATGGAAGCGAAACGAGGTACAGCAGCTGCAAGACACTCAAAGTCCTCCTGCCTATCCTCAAGGACGTCCGTGCCAAGAGCACACTCACCCCCGACGGACGGAGGACTGGCAGACGCTGACTCAGCAACAAGAGCAGTGGCGTAGTCTAGACGGCAGGCAGCAGCAAAGTCAAGCAGCTCAGCAACGAGAGTAGACGCAGCAGCAGACTCAAACGAAGGTTCTGTGACAGCAGTGGCGAGAAGACGAGAGACAGTGGGACTGGCAGCACGAGCGCGGTCAGACTCAGGGTCAGGGACCTCAGGAAGAGAGGACTCAGG